AAGAGCAAAGAATTGAGAATATCTACATAGACGTGCTGTAGGAATATTACACCGATTGTACTACCACGTTCCGCCCTTTCTCTAACGATGTGGTAGTTTTAATTGAGAAAGGTGTGCGACAAGGTCCAATCTCACCCAACCTGCTCTCCGCGTGTTTGTAATCCCTTATAGCGATTGGAGCAGATTTGGATTGAACATTGACGGCACTCTTCTGAATCACCTTCGCTTCGCCGATGACATTGTGCTTATTACTAGCTCGCCAGAGGAAGCGTCCGAGATGTTGGATCGTTTGGACCAAGAAGGGAGTCAGTACGGTTTGACGATGAACACATCAAAAACGAAAGTCATGCGGAACCGATTCGCCGGAGGTGCGACCGTAACCTTAAAGGGAGCCCAATCGAAGACGTCGAAAATTACGTGTACCTCGGGAGTGAGCTAAACATGAGGAATGATTTGACCGGAGAGCTGACGAGACGCTGCAAAGCTGGATGGGCAGCATTCAACTCAATAAAGAGCGTCGTGGAAGATACCAGATCTCAAGCTCCGTGCGGACCTCTTTAATACAACAGTGTTGCCTGCCCTAAGCTACGCAGGAGAAACTTGGGCCCTCACAAAAGCGCACGAAAAACGGTTAAAGTCTGCCCAAACATCAATTGAGCGCCGCCTAGTAGGCCTGACGTTAAGCCGTCAACGAGAATTGAAACTTCACAACTCGGACGTCAGGGCCATGTCGAAGATCAAGGACATTGTACTCCACGTTGACGAAGCGAAACATCGATTTGCTGGCCACGTGATGAGGAGAAATGACGGGAGATGGAGCTCTGCGACGATACGATGGTACCCGCGTGATAAGAAACGACCGCCGGGCCGCCCTCCTCTGCGCTGGGCAGATTCTCTGGCCTATCGCAACAATGTTTATGATCAATTTCTCTTAAGGTCTCTATGCACTGGACAAGCAAGGCTCAAGACAGAGATCAATGGAAAAGAAGTTGGGACCCGCGCAAGGTCAACCGCCGTGCTGAAGAACGGGTCGTCTAAGTAATCTAAGTAAAGTAATTATTACTATAGAAATGTTGCGTCCTGCTATTACTGCAGCTATTACCCCGAGAGTTGAGTTGGACCAGATTATGCCAGAAGGTTTTGAAAATTCATAATTGGTGAGGATGACAGATTGAAGTTTGTATAGTAATTTTTTTAACCAGTGCGGAACAAAGAACAAAGTCATGGAAAATGCCCCAATCCATTTGCCCTATGGGAAAGGCGGAGATAAGTTAGGGTTTTTGGGGGGGAGGGGGGAGGGGAGAGAGACCGGACGAAAGCAGTGACAGGCACAGGCGAGCAAGAAACAGACACCAACATGGGCAGAGGTACGGACGCTTCGGAGGAGAGCTTGGGCATCCTCCGACTTAATACCTCATATCTGAAACCCATTTGGAGCTTATCCAGTAGGAAGTTTTACGCTGATCTACAGAGCCGTTCCCACACAAAGCTTTGATTTTTATAGGCGATAGCGTAATGTCGTTTCGAAAGTCATTTTTCTCCCCATTGCTTGTTCAAAACGTTGCTCATTTCCGAATCGCTCTTCAGCTGACGATCTCATGAGCATCCCTCTTATCACGGGATTTAGTTCAGATTTTTTAGCAATTTGCTAGAAGTGTGGAGGACCTCTTGTTTCCTCTGAGGGGAAGCCTGGATTCGCAACTTTCTGTGAATGCAGAACTGCTCGAAATCATGTACCTATTTATTTGTCAATTTACATGAGCTCCTATGAGAGTTGGGCCTTTTATCGGAGAAAGTGCTCTTTAAGGCGTTCGGAACAGCGCAGGAATGAGGTTATAAGCATCGCCTGAGCCCTGCTTGTTCGTGTCACCCATAACTTCTATGACACTGTGGAACTTTTGTTGAGTTCTCTCGGCTTTCTGGTCTCTCCACCTCAGCCTTGTCTCATAGTCTGGAGCGTCGTGCAATTGATCGTAACAACCTCTTGCTCGGCCAGTTTCTGTCAGATAATCGTTTAATTCTTCAATCGGTCGGCAAGTACAGTCATGTTGAAGCCATTTACCTACGAATTACAATCATAAAATTTATTTTAAAGCAAAGTCACCGATCAGAATATTCTGGGGAGTGGTGCCCAAGTAGTGATGTCATTATGTCGAGAATGTCAGTGGTGGAGGTAGAACACGGTCGCAACTTCTTCGAATAAGACTCTCTAGCGAGCGCAATTGTACGAGCAGAGGGTGTGTTCGGACGACGAATGGTGTTGTGGCCGATGTGGTCGCTGCAGCTGATGCCAGCTGATTTCTTCTTGGTAATAGATACCCTTTGCAGATTTCCCGTTATTGCGTCTGAGTATAAGGACGGGAAGCCAATGGAAGTGGGTCGAGCCAGTGAAAGAAATGATGGCATGGCCGCCCTCTCACTCGCTTTTTCGTCATCCTCACGAAAATGGTGCAGTCGCTGCTTCTGCGGATCAGTCGACTCTCACAATTTCTTCATAGGGACTGTTTGTTAATTGATACAGTTGCGTCATTTCAATTCGGTGTACTCCGCGTAGCAGGCAAGACGGCTGACGTCATTCTTTAGCATGAAATAACCTGGAAAGTACACAGCTCCAACATTGTTCAAACGGAGTGTATTTCACCATCAAAAACTTTTATTTTGCAAAGTGAAAACAAATGAGTTGTTCAGTGGTTCACGCAAATGTGGAAGCAAGTTGGCACAGGCCGTTTTCGTTGCAGAATGAAGAGGGAGTGCCAGGGCAGTCAGAACAAGTGGATCCAGCCTTGTAGATCTGTTGATTAAGTGCGTTTCCTCTGAAACGACAAACTGCAACATATTCTGTGCGACATAGTGCACTGCCCTGTCTGATCAAAATAGGCATAGATTCATAAAGGAGGAACAACAAAACTGTCTTCTAAGATGTGTGTTCACAGCCCAAGTTTCGATTGTCCACCGCAGTGATACCGCTCACTTGTTATCATAGATCGGTTCTTTCACAACGGAGAAAAGTCTAATGAGCGAGATAAACAAACCGTGGGCTATAGTGGCGTACAACATTCCAATTATAGCTGTTGCATGTTGTCACGGCGCACCCAAGCCTTTGAGTTGTTGCCCATGCCATCTGCAATTCCAACATTTAGAACATCCTCTTGCGAAAAAAGTAATTTTTTCACGGGTATGTGAATTGCGGAAGTTCCCAATCGGGCAATCAGCTCATCAGGTATGTTGCTCACAAGTGTTTGGAATTTCGAAAGCCGTAATGAAAGTGGAAGTTATAACTCCTCATTGTTTCTGCCTTGTTCAGGACACCACAAACATCTGGTAGAAATCCAACAATACAGTGGAAATATAGGATGCTGAGTACAAACATGTGACTTCATTTTGCCACCTGGTGTTCACAAGGAATCGTAAAGGGTTGCCAGGCTCGCTGAATAATCTTGTCCTGGGACCTGTGTCTTGAACGCAAGACCTTTTCGCATTAGGCAAAAATTAGATTGTTGTTCATAGAACCAAGTGCTCTCGAGAGAATTCAAACAAGCAATGAGGTATAGTGTACTCTCATGTGTAATCAAAGTGCAGCACCACCGCAAGCCTGGACCGCTCGGCTGACTTTTATACGCTTGTGAAATTTTTGCGTCCGTGCTTGTAATGAGCATCTGAAGCCGTGGCATTGAGTACAGATACAAGGTTCCGTGAGCACTGTGCACCCATTCCAGATCTAGGCTGAGGACCTGCCTCTAGCGTTACTTATATTCTGGAGAGCTTTGGATTAAATCTAGTTTTTGTTTCACTTTCAGGGAAAGACTAATAGTTGTGTTGGTAAAGCTGGTTCTTTTTCAGATAAAAATCAAGAAGTTGAAGTTTTTTCCGTTGACCAACCAATTTTGGGACTAGGCAACATTCTACTTCCACCACAGGATTGTAGTGGCTAACTTTACGAAGGACCTTGGAAGCCTCACTGGACGAGTTCTCCAGATTTTCTTCATTTTCCAGCGATATGCTGCCGAATCTGGCTCACTAATCATAGAAGCATATTCGATACAGAAAATAGCATTTTTGTTTTGGTGGGCGGAATAATTAGGAGAGCGTCAAAATGCCACTCTGTAGGGCCAGGGTCAAGCAATAGGGGGCATGGCACATCCCATGAGAGTGCCGAACAGCGCCTCTGTGCTACAGTTCCTATTCACCGCATGATGAGAAGGTGGTGGAAAGCCTATTGAATATCTAGAATGATAAAGTAGATTCTATAGGCAAGAGATCCTCAAATCCGCGAAGGGCGAACCCGCCATAATAAATCTACATCAAAGGAAATGAACCCGCTTGAAAAGAGAAAACGTTCTAGCTCCCTAAACCGTGTGGGTCTCCTTTCTATTAGGTTGTCGCATAAGTTCTTATACACGTGTTTGATCCTCTCCTATTTCGTTCGCATGGATGTTGGTATTACGTCATCACGTGTGCGTGACGTGTACATTATACTCTTTCATTACACTAGCTATCACTCACCGAGCTTGCATTTGCAGTACACAATGTCGCACAATTACCACTGTGACAGAATGTACCTGCGCCACTGCCTGGTTTTGCTTAACGATTCACAAAAGAAGCTTCGCGTTCTCAACTCGATGATCACTGGAGATGAGAAGTGGGTCCTCTACGATAACCCTGTGAGGGAGCAGGAGTGGGTCGACAAAGGAGAACAGCCAGAAGCCACCTCAAAGGCCGACCTTCACCCCAAAAAGGTTCTCCTGTCCTGTTGGTGGTCCAGAAGAGGCATGGAGTACTGGGAGCTGCTGGAGAAGGGACAGACGATTGACGCTTCCACATACGTGACCCAGCTGCGGAAATTGAAAGATCACGTCGACCGTACTCGTGGAAGGAATGCGGAAATCTACTTCCACCATGACAACGCCCGACCTCACACTGCAAAGGCGACCCAGGCCGAGCTGGAGAAGTACGGATGGCTGATGGTCGCCCACCCTCCCTACAGCCCTGACCTCGCTCCTTCTGACTACTGGCTGTTCAGCCACCTGCAGCGCTCTCTGGACGGACTGGACGGAAAAAAGTTCGAAACAAAGGATCAGGTCAGAAAGGCGCGCGACGACT